CCACTTCAATTCATTTCCAAACACTGCCCAGTTGAAATTTTTCACAAAGAAATCAACAAAGTCTTCATTGTCTATATTTGTTCTGTTAATGCAAGAGCCTATAGGGAAACTATTTTGTGTTTGTACAACTTTCACATAGGTGCCGAATAAAAGGCTTGAACCAGCTCCTGAGAATTTGAGGATGACATCACGCTTTCGAATCTGTATTTGAGCCAAATAAAAATCATTACAACTAAGAAGTGAGCTGGGGCTAGGAATATCATGACTTAAAAGGATCCCAATGTTTGAAGGAAAACAACTCATCCAATTAACTTAAGAGAGAAACCAACCAAACCATTCCCAATGTTTCATACTAATTGAGGAAAAGAAAAACAGAAATTTCAGTAAATCAAAATTCCAGAGAAATCGGTGAAATAGAGAATTTATAATTGGAAATTTCTAATGCTTCAAAGGTAAATAGGAACTATTTGTTTCCAAATTTGTTTCTACGGTCAAATGCAGCCTATTCTGTAAGAGGGAAAAGATTTGCGGTTTTTATCTGTAATTTTCTGACCTTTTGTATGATAAAAGGCAACGAATTCCCTACTTATATAGGGTTACAAAAATTTCAATCTCCATTTTTTCTGTTTGAAATCATAATGTCTTCATGGCCTTGATAAAGCAAATACTACAGATATCACAACTAGATATTACCTTATCAGTCTGCCTCCTCAAATGTTTAAACCTGGCCTCACGATCAACTGGGAAAATCTGAAGTCCAGCAACCATCAGATCAATACCTGCAGCTGGACCCTGGACATAAACCATAACCTTGGATGGTTGCTTCTCAATTCTAAAGGAACCACCAATTTCATGCCATCTATCATCATTAATTTCAACTTGTCCACCATTGACCCACTGACTGTCCACACCAAGAGCAACATTCACATTTTGAGGACCACTAGCTCCAGAACCAATTCGAACCCAAGCAGATACTTGGTATGTCAAGAAAAGTTTCAGTTTATCAGTGATCATCTGAGCTGGGCCCATCCAAGTTTGTGTGCGACTTTTCGCAAGGATATAGCGGCCACTTAGAGGTTCATAGGCACCAAGGGAAGCTCTTGCCATTGGGGGGAGTATATGCGGTGAGCCTGATCCAACACTCAAATTGCAGTTACCAAGAGGAAACCATCCATTAGTGCCGTCATTTAATTGGCTGTTTGTAATTATATTACCTCCGAAATCAGGATTCTACAAAAAGTAAAAACACATCAGGGAACCATCCCTTAATTGGTTAATTGTAACTATATTGACTCTAAAATTTGCATGCTTAAAGCATGCAGCAAATCCAAGCATCCAATATCTTCTCTAAAGCATATGAAAAACAATACCAAATTCCAAATTAGAATTATTCAACTCACCTCAATAACTGGTGGAGTTGAAGGTGGGATTTTCTCGGCATGCTTTACGACTAAGGAATTGATAAGAATGTCAGTGCCGGGAGGTGGACCTTCTAAATAGATGACTACTCTTGATGGGGAACCATTTAGAAGGAACTTTCCCTGCAATTTCACCCAATCCTTGTCGGTTGCCTGCACACTTCTAGATGAAAAAACAGGGATCAAGATGCCAACACCACATGTAAAGATGGGATCTTCATAAGCCAAATAAAGCCATGGAAAACCAATGTGTAAAGGCTCAGAGATTCCACATTAAAAAACACTAGTTCTGAAGACAGTAAAACATATAAAGAACTTACTTGGCAACTCCAATGTACTGTTCTCGGAGGTCTGGTGTTTGGACCCATAATGTGACCTGTACAGTAGCAGTTGTGACATTGTTACCAAATATCCGTACTACAGCTGCTACATTATAAGCAAGCTTTCGCTGTACTCTTCCAGTGATCTCCTGCTGGATTCCATTCCAGCTCTGCGTGCGCTCCGTTGCAGCTGCAAAAACTTTTCCAGATTGTGGGACTATCTTCCCATCTGCCATAGAATCATGTAAAACAACCTTGCAGCCTCTTCCAGACCAGTTATTGAGACCATCTTCAAATTGAGGGTTTATGATGATGTTCTCATCTCCAGTAATGTCGCATCTTGAGCTTATACTCTTTCACAATAAAGAGGATGCAAAAAAATTCCAAAACAACCAGTGTAAGACTACGGAAACTGGCTTCTTTCTTTCTTTTTTTCTTTCTCTTAGCCGGAAGGTGGAGTAGTTAACAAAATAAATTAAATAACTCATAGACCTCTTTGACATGATAAAACCAACATAATATAATATTCAGTTAAGAAATGGATAAAGTGCTGTCAGGCAATGTTACCTCAGACTTGCTTGAACTGGAGCAGCCAATAACCACTGAATCAATAAGCAGATCAACACCAGGAGAAGGCCCTTCCAAATAAAACACAAGCCGTTCAGGCATGGTTGATAATGAGAATGTACCTTCCACCATTTCCCACCTCTCCTTTGACACAGAGCTTCTGCAGTGACAAAAGTCATCGACAAAAATTTCCTCATAAAGTCAAGTCTTGTTATATTCAGAGAAATCTAACGCAATTAAAAAACACCATTACTTTCCAATGCAGAGATAGCTAGTTGCTGAGCCGTGGTTTTCTAGCTTCAAAGTTGCCAGGACATCAGTAGACCCTGAAAGAGGCCCTGATACTCCAACACAAGCAGAAACTGAGTATGCAGAACCTGAGGAAATTCTTCCGGTGATATCTTGCTCAAGGCCCTGCCAGCATTCCGTTCGATTTGTAACAACTGCATAATTACCACCTGACTTTGATGACAATCCACCTGGATTGTAAGAATCAGTTGATGCTACAAAGCCATTGCAGCCGTTGGGATGCCAAGAATGCAGCCCATTGGAGAAGTCATAATTGACTATGATATTAGCAGCTGGATTGCCACTTGGACTGATCATCTTTTGGTTCAAGTTCTGCCAGGAAAAGAAGCGGCCATGAAAGTTGTATTGGTCAAGCTTAAAACAGCAAAGATCAAGAAAGGCAATGGATAAAAATATTCACTAAGACTGAAATCTAACAATATAATCTAAACTTAGAAGATGAAAATACCTCAATCACAATTCGACAACCCAACTACTCTAATTTTTTCACCATTTAATCATTAATTGTGCATCCCCATTTAGAGGCATAGATTTTATATGACCTTAAACAGTTCATAACCCAAAATGAACTCCAACTCCAACGCTAAACAAACGAAATGTACATCCGAAAACAAGTAATATCTTATATTAACAACAAAATTCAAATTCGCTGATATTATATTATGAAAAAGAGGGGAGAATCATCCCAAAAAATTGTGGAAGAGGAAGGAGGCTAAACAGAAACAATCAAAATGGAGGGGAAAATAGGAAAATAGATACCCATTAAAGCCAAAGAGAAAGAACAAAAGACACCCAATGCGGTGCAAATTATAATTAAGCATTCCAAAAGTGAAGAGCTCAAACCTCAGCCTTGCCATTGTCAGACTTCATTTGTGGGCTCTCCATAGTTTCTCAGGATCTCTAAGAACAAACACCAAAAAAATAAAAGAAAACCATCAACAAAGACAGAGACCAAAATGGCAATCAAATAAAACATTGAACTTCTCACGTTTTGTAAAGAAACAAAGAAGAAGGGTAACTAGAGAACCTGAGAAGGATGCTTATGCTTTCGACTTGTGAAGCAGCAAATGGAGAGCCTCCTCATTTATAAGACGCAGGCGAACCCTTTGTGGGGAGCGTTTTAAACGTGGAGTCTAAGAAAAGCGCGGGACCTAACTAACTCAACCAACCAATCAAACCTCTTCACTCTTCAGGCTTAAAAAAAGCTAGTGAACACTCTGACCCACTTCAGTTTTGTCGGGGTTTAATCCAAATAAGACCATCTCTTTACTTCTAATCCCAATGTTTTGTCCTGTTTTCTTGGTTTTTTCATTTTCTTAGAAGAAATGGTTCTCTAATGGGTATTTTATTTGCCATTGCTTTGTCTTGCAGAATGGGGAAACCTCGTAACCTCCCAATTTGCATTTGTATGCTTGAATTGGATTAGACGGTTTAAAGGATGGGGAGTGTGTTAGCACTGTGGGTCCAGCCCGAATTGATTAACCAATTAAAAGCCCTAAGCCTTAGTTGCCTTGACTATAAAATAAAGCCTTACATATAAAGGGTGTGACAGTTTTAGCGTGAAGAGAAAGTGAGAGAGTGCGCTGTAAAGGGAAAAAAAAGTTAGAACATGAAGAGAAAAGAAAAAAGAAGAGATGTTTGATCGAAAATCGATTTATGATTTAATTGAATTAAAATTTTATCGATAATTTTATAATTTAAAATTTTATATTTTAAAAGATGAAGATCGTATTTGAAATATTTAAAAACAAATTCAAAATATATTTATTGAATTAATTATTTGTTGAGATCTTTTTAATTATTTTTTTAGTTATTGATTAATTTTAGTTTTAATTAAAAATTTTTGTATATTTATTATTTAATAATAAAAAATTTTATGATGGTATGTGATTTTTTTCCATACATTTGAAAGTTTTTTATGAAAATTTTGATGTGATTTATTTTTTCTGCATAATTAATTGTTATTTACTGTTATAAGTTTATTACGATATATTACTTCTATATTATTATATTTGTTGTCTCACGTTGAAGAGAATCCTTTGTTCTAATCATTGATTTTAATGTTCAGAGCTTGTTTTATGAGTATTTGATTTCAGGACAAATGTTTTTTAATACGTGCAAAATCAGGTAGGGGAAAGAGCTTTCACTGACTTTCATAGCTTTAATAATAATTTTATATGTCCTCCAGTAATTTGAGTTCAAACTATAGACATTGACTATTCAATTCTGAATTAATATGAAACAATGATTTTACACAAGCCCGATAGCAATGGTTAATAAATAGATCAAGGAACCATTTGGTAGAAATTGGTAGTATTTGTTGATTATATATATTTCAGATTTCCAGTTCGAAATGTCTCCATAGTTCATAAGGTTTTAGGAATTATTAGATCATTGAATGAACTTTGATGTTACGTGCTCCTAGGAACAAAGAAAGAACCATCCTCTATGATGCCCTGCTTGACCCTTAATGCCTTTTTAACCAAGTTAGGATAATCACTGAAAAACTATCTGCCTTGATAGAGTAGAAAAAGGGAATGATGGACGGAGAAGTGTGGGAAAGACAATTATTTTTCTTCCAATTGTCCATTTGTCTGCCCACTTTACCAAGCAAAGCCTAAATGACGGCAGCTTCCTTGGACAACATTGAGGTTTCAAACCAGACAGGATTAGCTGTCAAAGTTTCCAAGCAATTTCTAAGACAAATGATATTCGAGAGCCAATATTCCTATGTCAAGATGTCAACAGCAAGAACGATTCAGTATCTGACAGAATGTTGATTATTAAGACAAGAAATTATCTAAACGAAGAATCTTTCTCGCGGTTTTCAGCAAGCTCACAGATTATTATATCTTTATTCAGTAAACGGCGGCTGGCTACAGATTCCAAATGAATGTTGGTTGCTGGGATTGTGACTCTTGACTAGTAGGGGGTCAGACATTTCCAAGAAACTATAGGTCAATGTTAATCGTCAAAGGCAACTCTCCCTTGTCAACAATAAATGTCCTGTTAACTTTCTTGGTAGGGGAATTGATTTCTATGCTGTATGTTCCATAATAGCCTCGGAATCTTATTTCACCTTGTGCATCGAGAAGACCGCGAGCTTGAGACAACCGCTCTTTCTTAAGAGCAAGATACCTCTTACCAGCAGCATTGATCTTACCTTCTGCATTCACTAAATGTGCATTTTCTCGGGACATATACAACTCCCAAAATCCCCATAGAATTATGCCTTCCACTGCAGGATGGGCAAATGCTTCACGCAGCATTACTTCCAAGTCATCTGCTCTGACATACTCATTGGTGGAAGACACATCAAGTTCCGTAAACCAGATTGGAAGACCAAGAGTACCCAACTTACCGAGGGCAGAGCTAACAACCGGCCCCACTGGACTGTTAATGTGTCCTTGAATTCCAATGCCCCCCACAGGAACACCTTGCTGTTGTAGATCAAGAATTTGGCGTATATATTCCTCTGATGATGATCTAACATCAGATCCATCCTCAATGTGATAATCATTAACAAAAAGGGTGGCAGATGGGTCAAGTTGATGGGATGTTTTGAACATGTTTTCTTGGATACCTTCACCCAATCGATCTTTATAAAAAGACCGTGCAGCATCTCATTATCTACATCATAGTGCCTAAATTTTCCCTTGTAACGTGTGAGAAGGTCTGTTAGACTGTTTTGAACGGCTGTAATCAAATCACTCTTGTTAAGCAACTGGACCCATGGTTGTGTTGCATATTCCATCTCCCAGAAGATGCAGTGACCTCGAATTTCCAAGTTGTGGCAATTACAGAACTCCAAGAGCTCATCAGCATCCTTATAGTTAAAGTTGCCTTGTTGTGGTTCTGTCCGAGACCACTTTAATTCATTTCCAAACACCACCCACTTAAAATTTGTTACCAAGAAACGAACCAAATCTTCATTGTCTATGCTTCTTCTTGTTATGCATGAGCCAAAAGGAAAACTGTTTTCTATTTGTTTGACTTTCACTAAGCCACTTCTGACATTGCTGACCTCTGAGGTTGAGAACTTTAGTATGACATCACGCTTACGTATCTGCAATGCATAAAAATGAGTTTTCCAAATTAGAAGCAAAACCAAACAGAAATTTTGCACCTGCACATACTAAGAATATTACTTTTTCATTGCAATTTGCTTTTAGATGTGGTATAAACTGTCAATGATACTCCAAACATTGTTGTGTCTCAAGAAAAGACAATCAAATTAATTCAGCTTAAGCATGAGGCAATCAGAACAAACTTCTGGTATATTCTAAAACTTTAGAGCAGCATATTGAAAATAGCTTTTGACTTTTACCCCTTTTCATCAATGTCCGTGAAGTTGAGCTTGCAATTACCTTATCAGTTTGTTTTTTCAAAAATTTAAACCTCGCCCTTCTATCAACAGGGAAAATCCAAAGTCCAGCAACCATTAAGTCAACACCAGCAGCAGGACCTTGTACGTAAACCATAACATTAGATGGTTGCCTCTCAATTCTAAAGGACCCCCCAACTTCATGCCACCTTTCATCATTAAACTCAACCTGGCCTCCATTGACCCAATTCCCATCGATACCAAATGCAACATTGACAATCTGAGGACTAGTAGACCCAGGACTAATTCTAACCCAAGCAGATACTTGATATGTCAAGTAGAGTTTCAATTTTCCACTGATCATCTGTGCAGGACCCATCCAAGTGTCTGTACGATTTGTCAAATGTATGTAGCGTCCACTTAGACGCTCATGAAGTCCGAGGGAGTTCCTTGCCATTGGAGGGAGCTCAATTGGTGAACCAATCCCTATGCTTAAAGCGCAATCACCAAGAGGAAACCATCCATTAATGCCATCATCAAGATTAATGTTCTCAATTATATTCACTCCAAAAGCTTCATTCTACAAAAGTACAGGGAGAAAAACCTTGCCAGAATTAAAATCCAGATTTCAAGATTAAAAACAGTATACATCGAATTACAAGTATAACAATATTTTCTATAGATCTTGTGTGTTTGTGTACATTAAGTCTTTATCAAAAGATTTTAGAAGTCCCAGTCACTTGTTCACCAACCTTCATGATTGGTCGAAGTGAAGGGGGAACCTTCTCGGCATGCTTGACAACCAAACTATTAATAAGAATATCAGTTCCAGGAGGGGGACCTTCTAGAAATATAATTACTCTTAAAGGGGAACCGTTAAGGAGGAATTCCCCCTGCAACTGCACCCAGTCTTCGTCTGTTGCCTGTAAACTTCAGAACAAACTAATTTCATGTTAAAAATTTGAGCAACATTAAAGGAAACTCTTAATATCAGATACCATACAAGTTAAAACTTGTAATATGATTTAAAACATTCCACATATCTCAAAGGAGAAAGTTAAAGAGAAAAGATAGAGATGTATAGACATACGAATGTTACATGCCCAACTTGTCCTAAACTAGTCATCTCAGATGGATTGAAAAGCTGAATTCAGCATATTTTACTCGAGGATACAATAAAAAAACTTTAAATGAAACCACGCTGTTGGAATTTCTCTTTTTGAAAGTAAATTAACTAGACCTGCTGAGCATATTAACTTTCCACAACCCTGTAGGTCTAAAATAAAGGTTCTTTTTTCTTTTTTCTTTTTCCCACTGGAGATAAGTTAAAGGTGGCAAAACCTACAAGATTTTCTGCAGAATCAATCAAAGGTTAAAATTTCAAACATAGTTCATATATAAAGGTCATAAATAGTTACAAAAGCCAACTAATGCTTAGAGTTTGTCCATAGAACATGCATGAGAAGCTGTAAGTGAATACTACATTACAAGACGGAGAAAGGGACTTACATAGCAATTCTAATGTACTGGTCCTGAATATCGGGGCTTTGAACCCATAATGTGGCCTGTATACCAGCATTGGTGACATTGCCACCATATATCCGAACGACTGCAGTGACCTCATAAGCAAGCTTTGGTTGCACTCTTCCCGTAATCTCCTGCTCAATTCCATTCCAGATCTCGGTACGATTTGTTGCAGAAGCAAAGAACTTTCCATATAGTGGAAGGACTTTTCCATCCCTCATTGACTCATGTAAAGCAATCTTGCAGCCCTTGGCAGACCAATTGCTAAGGCCATCCTCAAATGTAGGGTTTAATATGATGTTATCGCTTCCATTGGTGAGATGGCCTGTTCTTGCACTCTTTGTGTATGAAGTGGAAATCCATGTATCAAAATCAACATCCATAAATATATGCAAGGAGCTTGTCATAAATCTCTCACTTCTTCACCTCACGTAGTGTTAATATATAGATAATCATGTAGAATCTGAAGATTCTTCTATGATTATGGACTATGGAGTAATCGACTTGGTTTCATAAATTAAAGAAGTAAATGATTTAAGGATTTTAGGAATTTTTTTTTGGTGGTAATTTGCATTGCTTTAAACATACTTAATAGTTTTGAAACTTTTTCCTCAAATGGCATTATAGCAAAAGGCAACCTATCCTTAATACTTGAAGAGCTAAAAACATAATAGAAATGTAGGTTATACCTGATCGGTGACAGGCAACGAAGGGTTTGATTCCAATATCTGTAAATTTGGCAGAAAAGCAGTTTCTACAAAGAGAACCCAATGCGAAAGAAGAAAGAGATGAAAAAGAAAGGAGAAAAAGAATAACTCCATGACAGAAGGTGAAATGGCGGTGGGTTTGTAAAGGTTCCATTTAGCATGCAAGAAAAAGGGAGAGAAAAGGGATGGAAAAAGTTTTAAAACAAATTATTTTTCGATATTTTATCTTTTAGCTAGAGAAGTAGGAAGATGGGCGGGAGGAGAAACATCCGGTGATTGATATTAAAGAATGTTGAAGCTGAGTCAAAAGCAGCCAAGCATAGCATCGGGTTATGGAAGATAGGATTAAAAACCCTGGTGGAGTTTTGATCAAATAATTCAATATGATTTAGTTGAATGGCAAGCATTTGCATTGTTGGATCAGTTTCTGCTTTTCGGCTTTACAACTCCTTTGTTTTCCATTGTTGGAGAAAGCAGCCCGCAGTGACCGGCGAGGGACGACTTGTCGATTTCCTGGGCCCCTTTAACAAAAGAATTAGGAACCCGTAAGCCTTTGCAATAATAACCATTACTTTATGGAGTAGTTTATTCTATCCTATTCCATCAAATAAATTGGCAAGAAAATAATAAATAATAAATTCATTTTTTTAGTAAAAAAAATAGACATTATCAATCAGATTAAAAAATTATCGTACATTATTTTAAAATATATTAAAAACAATAAGCTTTCATTCAAAACACCTAAGAGACATCGACTCGATAAAAGTATTAAAAGTCACATTCCCCAATATCAATCTTGCCATATCCACTCATCAAACTCGGTACTTTTTGCCTTGAAACCCACGTTCTCACGGAGAAGGTACTTTTGTCTCGTGCTTTTGCTCTATCATCGAAACAAATACTCACATCACGTACTTTTTGTCTCCTTTTTTTAATTTATTTTTTATTTGAAATGTTTTAAAATTTTTATTTTTTATATTTTAAACTTATTTTTTTTAATTTTTTTTATTTTTAACATTAAATTCATAAAATTTTAATTAAATAAAAAATTTAATTTTAATATTAAATATATTAAAATTAATTTTTTAAAATTTAATAAAAATCAATATCATCCTTATAATTTGAAATGGAAGAGTATATTTTTCATTCTTCAGTAATTAATATGAACTTCTACAACCCTAGAGTGCTAGGTCTAACAATTTATACCTTGCAAACACGATAATTAAATTTAACAAGCCACATGTTGCACGAGTTCCGATGTTTTTCCGTATGCATGCTAAAAAAATAAACAAATTAAAAAGGGCATCTGAAGCATACATGAATCATTAGGGCGTTACCCGAACATCATAAAATTCTTGCTTGCAAAAATATTGTATAAAAATTAGAAATGGCAAAAAGTAAGTTTGTATATTATGAATATTTAAGGAATATTTAATGTCATAAGTTGAAAATAATTCTATTTATTTTAAGAGAATTAAAATTTTTATATTAAAAAAATAATTAATTTTTTATAATTATATTTTAAATATAATTAAATATAATATAAATAATAATTATTTTATTTTATAATCATTTTATATACCTTACATCGTTTATAACTAATTAATTAAATAAACTGACGACAAATACAACAAAAATTTTTTTAATACTCTATTCTTTTTCGACTCAGAAAAAGATCGGTTCCCCCAATTTGTAAATAATTTTGAAAGGCGAGGTTCTAATTTTGGTTTAAAAAATAGCCGCCTGACAATGACATGAAACGACTTAAAAACTGAATCAAATCCAACGTGTCAATTTCTATCTCGTACGAGAACCACGAACTAAAATATGGAAGTATAAAATAGAACCTTCCTCTGAATGCCAGTTTTACCCTCCTCCAAGACCCAAGGAATAAAATCATCCCGTAATTAAACAAAAAATCAAGGGCAGTTACTTAAAAGCAAGTGCGGGGATCCGCGGCCCCATTTAGCTAACCGACCCGTAACTACAAAAACCTCTGTCACATTCTGACCAAGACCAAAAACTCTCTCACCTCCGCATTGCCCCCTTCGCTTCTTTAAAACCTTGGCAGAGTATTTGACTCCCTCATTTTTTTCATCAACAAAATCAAACGCTCTCGGCGAGAATCTCACTTAATAAAATACTTTCAGATTTTTTTTTCATCTCTTAGCTCTGGTTTTAGTTTCAATGGTGGAGATGGAGGGAGATTCTAGAAGAGTGCGAGTGAAGGAAGTTGATGATGCAGATGAGATCAAGGTTAGAAACGAGAATAATACTAATAAGATAAAGAATCAGCAGCAGCAGAAGAAGAAGAAGAAGAAGAAGAAGAAGAAGAAGAAGAAGAAGAGAAGATCATCGAGTTTGGCGAGATTTGGATGCTTGAGAATGGAATCTGATGTGAACGGAGGTATCAATATGGAAGTCGAGTTTCCGGGAGAGCGTAACGATCCTACTCATCTTGTTATCATGGTTAATGGCATCATTGGCAGGTTAATCTCGGTTAGTCCTTTTTATTACTATTATTTATATGTTTGAAGTTGCTTGATTGATTTTTGGATTAATATCGTGTAGTGCTCAGGATTGGAGATTTGCTGCAAAGCAGTTTTTGAAGAAGTATCCGCAGGATGTTATTGTTCACTTTGAGTTCTCAGATACTCCCTTTTTTTTTATGATTGTCTGTGATTAAGCTAAATACAGATTAATTTCAAATTAATTATTTTGATTATCTCACTTTTCTTTTTCAAAAAATTAATTTTCTGCTCTGTTTCATGATCCTTCTTCTTCAATACAACTTCGTAAGTCTTGGACTTTAGATGTATCAGAAGTTTATAAGTAGATAAGTCTCACTAATCCAGAAGATTCAAAATTTGCATTGCAAAATTTGGAAAGTTTATAAGTAAATAAGTCTCACTAGTTAAGATTTTGCTGGATGATAACCGTCCCAATTAGGGAAAGGAGCGCAAAACCATTCAGTAAATGAATACCTGTCATAATGATATTGTTGATCAGTTGATGGGTTTCATGAGGAAATGATTACTGAATGGTTAATGACTTCATGTGCAATGCAGGCAGCAAGCGCAATTCTTCAATGTCGACATTTGATGGTGTCGATGTAATGGGTGATAGATTAGCAGAGGAGGTATGTATGCTATGAATTTTTTATCAATGTTCAAAAACTGTCTTTCATTATCCAAGATTGCAAGTTTGCAACTGAGATTATTTTCCCATTTTGCAAACTACTGCGTACAGTTTGGAGATAGGTATTGTTCTTTGGTGTGATAGTGTCTGTACTTATTTTATCATTACTATTAATTCAGATTTGAGGTGGCCATGCCAATAGGAGAATGCTGTTGTATCTTTTTTCAGGTTAAATATGTCATTAGCTGTCACCCAAGTGTTCAGAAGATTTCTTTTGTTGGTCATTCATTAGGTGGCCTTGTAGCAAGGTATGCCATTGCACGGCTTTATGAACAAGATCTCACTCGAAAAATTTCTCAAACAAATGGAGATTGTGGAACTGATCATTTGGGAGATTCATGCCCTGATGGGAAATTAAAAGGGAAAATTGCTGGACTAGAGCCCATGAATTTCATAACATTTGCAAGTCCCCACCTCGGTTCCCGGTGGCATAAACAGGTAGTTCATTCACCAGCTTCTTTATATGTGATTAGTGATAGCTTCGAAACTCATCAGATAGTTTTCTTTTGTGATGATGAAATTCATGTTTTTTAAGGTATATGAAGTCATCATATAAGTTCTGATGAGAAACTGCTAATTCATCTTTTGTGCTGGTATACATGCAAGTGCAATTGAGTGATAAAACGTTGAGTATATGCTTGCATTTGCTTTTTACATTACAGGTTGGTAATATTTTCCTTTTGGTGGCTTTGCATTATTCAGGTCCCATTGTTCTGTGGCTCCCATGCACTGGAAAAAATTGCTGCCCGCATATCATGGTTTCTTGGTAGAACTGGAAAACATTTGTTTTTGACTGATAGAAAGAATGGAAAACCACCACTTCTTCTCCAGATGGTCAATGATTGTGAAGATCTTAAATTTATGTGAGTTTTCATAAGCTTCCTAGATTAATTTAAAGCATGTGAGAGAAGATGGTGAATTACAGACTTATAGTTGTATCTTTTCTTTAAACTGCAGATCCGCTCTTCAGTCCTTCAGGCATCGTGTTGTGTATTCAAATACAAGTTTTGACCGTATCCTTTTATTATATCAGTTGATTCTGTAGTTATGCTTTCTCTGCGACACTAACTCTTGAAGGAAGATTTAATAATGGATCTAACTGTTTTAGGCTTTAGGATAAAACTTATTCCACATTCAAAATGTTGACTGTTTAAGAACTTGACACTTTTCTTAGATATTGTTGGATGGAGTACCTCTTCCTTACGGCGTCGAAATGAACTTCCAAAGGTAACCCCGAAGCATGTTCTTGGAGGATTTTAATTGTATCACCAGCTATGAAGCTAATGCCAACATGAATTCTCTCTCTATCAGATTAAAAATCTTCCAAGAGGTGACAAATACCCACACATTATAAATGTGGAAACAGCAAAAACAGCTGCCCTTGATGAAGACCCTTCCGAGGCCAAAATCAATGGAAATGAGAAGATAAACATGGAAGGTTTGCCTAATTTATCTTTTAAAATTAGTAATCAGATCACTTGCTATCAAAATCTTTTGGAGATCTTAAACTTCACTTCCTTTGTTGTTTTTGGTTGTTGGCATCATTTCACATCACTGGAACTGGTTTGTAATATTTTGTTAATAATTATGGAGAGCTCTAGTAGATATAAAGACATTGAACGATAGCATAAGAGCAATACTCTTTTTCCCAATCTCACTCAGTAATGTATATGAAATAGTTTGTAATGAGGAAGGATGGCATTAACTTTTAGTCAATTAAACAATTGGGTTCAAATAACTTTTATCTTGTAGTGGTAAAATTTTTTTCCTTTAATGTATCAGGCTCTTTATTTGTTTTGAATTTGGATCAGAAAAGTTTATCATGATATCAATCATACAATTCAGTAGTTTATAATCTCTAGTCTGTTCTCTTGTGGTCACAGGCTGAAAGTCATGATAGGTCTATCTTGGTTATAGCCTTATGTTTCAGGTAGTTCAAATGTAAGTTGTGGAGAGGAGTTGAAGATGATTAAGGGGTGAAAGTGATTCTTTTGAGGGTCATTGATAATGATTACTGCTTACTTTCCTCCTTTGTAGTGGATCACCTATGGTATAATTGTTAAATTGTCAAACATACGTGTTTGTGTTGTCTTGCAAGCCAAGTGAAAAGGCAAGCTGGTAGGAGTAGTATTTCTTTTTCCTTGATTTGGTTGTTTGTTAGTCAATGGGCATACAAACATTTTGTAAATGAAAAGGGGAATGAAATTGTCAAAGCATTTCTGATCTACCTTTTACAATTAAACTACTTGCAAGTTGTTACTTTTAATTTCCTCACCTTGGCACTTTTTGTTGTTAGGAGCTGCAAAATCACTCATCTATTACATATTTAAAGTTACAAGTAGAGGATAATAGTTGAATAACAAGTTATTGCCCAGTGCGCTCAATTTTCATTCATTTTTATGAATATTACAGAGGAAATAATCAAAGGTTTAACAAAAGTCAGCTGGGAACGGGTTGATGTTTACTTCAAAGGAAGCAGACAAAGGCTTCTTGCACATAGTACCATTCAGGCAAGTTATTCTTTACAAACTCATTGCTTTGGGGGTAGAATTAGAATATTAGATGAGCTTAATGCTTTCCAACCCTTTCACTCTTTCTTTCTACCATGCAAATATTTTGCATTCAGGGGTTACCTGTGATAGATGCTGCGTAACTAAGTGATACTATTCTATCACCCTATTATTTCAGGTGAAAAGCTACTGGGTTAATTCTGATGGAGCTGATGTAGTCCAACACGTGATTGACAATTTTCTCTTATAAGAGGTGGCGATTTGTTGCTATACATATGTAAATTGCCAAATGGCTTTTTGGTCCAATGGCAGTCTGGAAGGACTGTTAACGTAAGTAGAAGTGTTTATTGTCGGGTTCGGTAAGATCCGGTCAGCCTTCTAAAAGTCGTGTCCAAGATTTGACCCAACCCGTTGGGTTGAGGATTTAAAAGGTCCGAAATTTTCAATATATTAAAATAAAATATTAATATTTTAATATATTTCTTTGTAGGGTGAAAAATTCTCAGTTAAAGCTCCAACCCAAATCGGATCGGATGAGTAGCCTGATCTCGTGGACAGGTTCTACGCGTGAGGTTGGAACGTGGAAATTTACTCTGCAGGGTTTAAATGGGTGGTGGCCATTAACGCTGAGCAGAAGGTGGAATATCATATTTGTGTGTAAATATATATTATTTAATAATCTTAGGTGTCCTACATGTGTTGTAACGAGTAAAGACGGATTACTTGCTAGCGGTTCAACCTGCTTTATTTTCAGTCAGAAATAAGATGACAGCATCGTCCAAAGATTGTAACGATTATAAGGTACTAGCTTCGCAGGATGCAACTCCACGTATGTGGGCGTCTGAGTGTTAAGTATGATCTGATCCAGATATGTAGTTAATAGAGAATTTAAATTATCTTAACATCTTGTCGGTCCCAGCCCAGCTCACTCTCTGTTCCTTGTGTAGGCTTTTATGTTACAGCTGGACTTTGGCCCAATCCCCTGGCATTATACTGGTCCTGTAATGCCTTAATGGTGGTGTGTAACTGTAATCAATAATGGATAAGGTATCAGTATCAGAATTCAGATGTAAATTAGAAATGAAATTTCAACGCAATTAGAAAATTTCTGTTGTCTTGCAATCCGCCAAACTTTTTTGGTGTAATATTCTTAAGAGTTTGGTCCATTGTGATAATTTACGAATGGCAAGCAGATTCTTAACTTACTATTATGATTTTGTTATCTCATAAACGAGGATTCCAAAAAAATACTTACAATTTCTGGATACGGAATTGAGTTTGTTTTTGATAACATTGAAATTACTTGACGTAAAAGGGTAAATATTTTTTGATGAACCGGTATCTTAAAACTTGTGGGAGCACTGGAGAACTCTGCTGTAATTGGTAGCCATAAGCGGTTAGAATTGCAGAGTATATACAGTGTTCTCTGTTAAGGACAGGACTCTCATTCCCAAGAGCGTGCGGGAGCTTGCAGGTAAAATATTTAACTCTCCAACCAACCCAGAAATTTGCTGTTCCTACCATAATTTGCTGTTCCTACCATAAAAGACTATATTATCAATCAAACTCCATAGTCTGTTGCCTTGTATACCAACCCCCGAATACTATCCTCCTCGGGAAATAGTAATGAAAAAAGAAAAAACTATTCCCAATTCCTAAGTGATAGAGATTTGGCGTGTTGGAGTGGAACTGGTCACGACTCACGAGTCATTGACTCTGCCCACGAGCCAAAACCTTAAAACCAGGCACCCACCTCAAAAGGAACGTAAACAGGGGGGGACAAAATGAAAGGAGAAATGGGGAAGGAATGGAATGGAATAGGAAATTCCAGTAACCTAGCTAAATCCCGACTGTGACGTTACATAAACCCCTTTTGTAGAAAACTCTCTATCATTTGGTATTTGTGTGATCTCTTTTGTTGCTGTTTTTGTTTTCATTTTCCACTCTTTCCTTTGATTGTGCCTCTGCTGTCCATCATTTGCTTTTCTACCGCTTCTGCTGCCACAGCTGTTTTCATTTCTATTTCATTTTTTTTCCCTTTTCTTTTTCATATTGTAAGGTTACCTTGGTATTTGGTGGCTATGATGAAAGAGCTTGAGGTCCTTCCCTTTTCGGGTTTTAAGGTCCTCCCCAATTTGCTTTTAGGCCTAATGCAGTGCGCTTTTTGCCCTTCCGTACGTTCCATCATTCATTCAGAACTTCAGAGATATACCAAGGGTAAAAACCGGACGTTATCTTTTTTTGCATTGTGGAGCTGGCCAATCAAGTACTTGAAAAACTCTCTTAGGGTGGCTTTTCAAAATTTCAGGTGCAGGTTACCTTCTGGCTTCTATATTTGCCAACCAGATTAATTATTAAGTTTTCCCTTGCGTTGGTTCCTGATTAATTTACTTCTCTAATAACCCCCAACCCTTGTCTCTCATCTTTTAAGGTTTTGAACTCCTACCCTTCTCCTCTTTGAGAAAATGAGGAGCTCCCCAAATATGTTTTGTTTGCACAGGATAGACACCTTGATTGTTCCTTGATGTTTCTCCTTGTTTTCAAGCTTGACCCAAGTTTAGATTCATGGCTGCAGAAGGTAAGTTTCTTCCTTATCTAATTAAAAAAAAAAAAAAGCTCCAAAATCTAGAATAAATCAATCATTGACTTCACTTTTCTCACTTTCATGTATTCCAGGAGTCTTTTCCAGGTACTTGAAGGTGCTAGTATAATATAATTTATTTCAAAATCTTGCTCTTTCTTAACATCCAATCAGCACTGACACAATTCAATAATGTTCTATGACAGATAGGGAATTGAAGAAGAACGCTTGATAAATCTGATTGGATCAAGGCACCAAGTGTGAGAGAAGTGCAGTTCCTGCCGCATAAAGAGGCAATTCAAGTTCCTGTTACAACTCAAGTACCTGCCCGCCAATACTCAGCTGCAATACTCTCAATTTCTTACTCTAGAGGCGATGACGTCTCCAATTACAAGCCCATGTGTTGGAAGTGCAAGTGTGGAAACCGTATTTTCAATCCTTGATTGAAGTAAAAATAAAACAATGTTTAATTAGTGTAAAAAAAAAAGCACCTCCTTTTCAACCGTGGATAAAATGACTTTCAATTCTATTGCTCGTAGTCTTTTTCACTCTCCTCTCTTGCATGGTAAAGATACAGGTTGTACAAATGTATACCTTTGTCCACTATTTGTTTTCTTACAGTTTAACAGAAACAGATACCTTAACTGGAAAGTGTTACTAAATCTTCATCGTCCCTCAAAGTTTATTTATTGTTTTTGAAAAAGTTTTTGGGGGGTGAGATTTGTTGATTTTGATACCAAAGTGATGACATGGGTCATTTAAACGAGATAAAGATGGGTGTTGTATCAAGTCTGTCAGACGGTTCTGCTTTCGTATCTAACAAGATTTGTGCACCTCACAGGTCCAGAGTCCAGAGACAAAGCTGAGACCCTGTAGTTGCATGTGAGACAGCCCACCTCGAAGGGATAAATACATAACGTACCTCATCATCTTATTGTTTCGTTTTATTTTCCCTTAGCCATGAAAATCGTTGTTAACAAATAATAATAAAATAAAATGAATGAGAGAATATGTTCCACAAACTTTTGGCTAGTTTCAAAGGGTTGGATATATTATTTTGCCTTAACCACAACCTGTGGTGATTTTTTTTTAAGATGTAATTTAATCGAGTTGATATATAAAATATTTGAAATTTATTCAAAATTAATTTTTAAAATTTGATTTGAATTTAATTAAAATTTAATTTTTAAATTAAAATTAAAATTAAAATTAAATTATTTAAATTCATTTAATAAAAAATAAATTTACTTTTTATATTTGATTTTAAATTTAATTATATATGCAAATTCAAATTCAAATTCTTGTTTGAACTAATATATATAGATAAAAATAAAATAATAATTTTTTAATAAAAATATATTAAAATTTAAAATTTTAATTATATTCATAAATTATTTAAATAAAATATTAAAATTTAATTTATTTAATAAATAAAAATATTTAAATTTAAATTAAATTCGATAATAATTAAATTAAATTAAATTAAAATTTTATTTAAATAAAATAATTTATAATTATTAAAATATTATTTACATCCCTAATCACTCTCCTTAAATCTATCTTGCAATCCCATGAGGCTATAATTTTTAGCTGATGAAAAAATGCCTGCAAGATGAAAAAAAAAAAAAAAAGAGCTCTAATCCAAGATATGGACCATGTTTTCTCTCTGAAGCTGATCTCGCTTAAACAATTGAACTGCCATTGTTGAATGTTATTGTCGAAAATTTTTTTTAAAATCTATATGAAAAATTACACGAGCTGGTGGATTGTCTGTTGGCTTTCATGTCAAACAAGTTGGAAAACATTAAATGTAGCATTGAATATTGACGTGAAAAATAAAAAATAGCAGAGAGAGTTAGTGAAGGACTCATCATTATCAGCATTCGTTAGGTCTACCAGCGCTTCGCTGCTGCTATCTGCCTCTCTGCTCCTGCGCCCCCCCCCCCCCCCCTTCTACCCTTCTTTTGCAAATCAAATCATGATGATGGATGGGATGTAAACCTATCAATTTTGGTTGGAATTAAAAAATTCGTTCAATTCACCAAATGATCTCACCAGATTTGATTATAAAAATTTAATAATTCTAATCATTCAATCTAAAATCGGAAACAATTCAAATTCATTTAAATTTAAATATAATTTGAAATTAAAATAATATAAAAAATTAATTTGAAATAACTTAAGATTAAATTATATTTTATTTAAAAATATAAAAATGATAAATATAATCCAAATGATAATTTATTGAATTTATTGAAAATATCAATTTAATATATGTTTTAATATCAAATTAGTATATCAAATATTTAGATATGTCTTATATTAATTATAAAAGTTTTTATAATTTATATTATGTTTTAAAATAAATTATATATTTTTAAATATAATGGGTATACATATCAAATTATTAATGTATCATTTAAAATAAATTATATAATCTCTTATAATTATATACGAGTATCAACTATATTTAAAATAAAATAAAATAAAATCATTAATTTGTATGTATACATTATGTTTTATTTTATAATTATATTATTAATTTTTAATTATATAATTTAGAATATATTATATAATGATTATAATTATACTAAAATTCAAAATAATAAGTTATTAAATAATGAGTTATAATTATCCTAAAATAGTTATTTATATTGAAGTTATATTATTAATATAAAAATAATTACATGTATCATAATTAAATATTTAAAATAATTTTATATAATTATATTAAATATTACAAAAAATACAAAAAACTATTAACATGTCAAACGTGATAAATATATTTTGCATATTTTATATGCATATTCATATGCATGCTTTAATTAAATATATTTTGTGTCTTATACTTGTCAAAATTTATGTCAATGTGACTAAATAAGGAATATATTGTGTCTAAATTGATTCAGTTTTTCTTATATTATTTGTGTTATGTCATTGTGTCATATTTAAATTTATCAAATATACTAAAATCATTATATTTTTTATTTATATAAAAATTAATTTTAATCTAAAACATACAAATTATAATAATGATATTTTTAAAAATATTTGTTTATTTTTTATTTTTTAATAAAATTTGATTTGAACTTAATTAATAAAATTTTAAATTTAATAAATTGAATCGAAAATGATTTAAACTCATTTGATTTGTATTTAAATAATTTGAATGTCAAACCTAAACTAAAATAATTTAAAATTGATTAGATTTAGACTAAAAAGGACTAAAATTTGAAATAATTCAAACATAAAATAACTTAAAATTAAAATGATTAAACTCTAAATTAATCTAATTTTTTTATGCAAAATAATCCAAATTAACTTAACCCGATCTAAATTCAGCGGGTGCAATTGACAGGTCTAGTGGGAAGGGATATTTTTATTTGGTTTGTGGGGTTAACTCCTTTCTCTTTTAACTCTTTGCCCTCTGCTTCTGCTTTATTGCCTATTAGATGTGACTGGTGACGGTACCTAAACTGCAACTTGATGTTGTGATTAGAAAATTTTGTCATCAAATATGAAAAAACAAAACAGATGTTCAATTGACGAGCTTTAACACCGATTGATGGCTGACACAATCAACCAAGCCGTAATCAATTTTCCACCAAATGTCATATCCACAAACTCCTGATATGATATATGAACAGCTTAAAATGCTGTGGTAACTCATACGTCATAAGGCTTTGTTTTTTTCCCTCGTTTAAAAAGAAGGAAACAGCTTCTTTGCTAATAAGAGTAGGAATTTAACAGGTGGATTGAATTTGTTAATTTTATGCTTGGTAAAACCTTGAGAGCCACAGGTCAAACTTTGTTAAAAGATTTTCTGTTTATACTTTTCTGATTCTATGTCTCGTGGGCATGGTACGTGGCAGTAGCCATCTGTGATCAGCAAAAGGAGATTCAGGGTTTCAGTTGAAAATGGCTCGACTCTGTTTTGCATGTCCTTTTCCCGGGAAGCATGAGCTCTAATATTATATCTTCAATGGACATTTAAGACAGGCAAGCAATGCAAAGAAAATGTTTACTATGATAGAGTGAAATCCACCTTTTCATTTGGTACATTTGATTAGGGTCAGATATCAAAAAAACAAATTTGAACTTCAAAGAGAACAAACGCCAACTCGCATATGGTAATAAATTACTGGGAATATTGTTTTCTTCAAGAATGCTATACCTATAGTGATGTTTCCTATGGACGACATGCCCTGGATATGAATTTGGAATGTGACACCAAGAAAACAACATTTCACAATTTGAAGCATTCATGGCAGATAATTTGAAACGAAGTCGCTGACAAACCATAAATTACAAATGAAATACATATACTTG